AGTCTGCATGTTGCATCTGTTGGGAACCGGATGGACCATGGCTGTGAAGTGGTATACCTTAAAAATCCTAGACACGGTGAAGGCGTTAAGGCACATATATCAGAGATACCGGCAAGTGCACAGTTTGGCCACTCTTTAACGCAGACGCTTGCTATACCACTAGACTTCAGGATTTGTCACCTGTTACAAGCAAATCTCATAACGGGTTCAATTCACATAGTCCACAAGGATAAAAGTAAAGGGGACTCATTCTCCTCAGAGTTCTAATATAACTCAAATATACATCAAGGATACCCCAAAAACTTTCGACCAGCTACCTGGTCCACTTGTTATCACTTTGGGACAAAAACCAACCGAATCCTTTGATAAAATTTCATTCAGGCTAAAGGGTCTATGATCCAAGGCAGACAACATAAATATAATGCACGAAACCAGTTGCAAGGGCTATCACCGTCACTAGGTGTATCAGTGCGGTTTTTGAATAGGTCATCAGCCTAAATCAAACGGCATGATATATCCTGGTTGATGCAGCTGCATTTAGGTGGTCACAACCACAACTTCGATTGGAACAGTGTGGAAATACTGCAACAAGCAAGCTTAAAAACTTAGAGAGAGTTCCTGAAGGCATGATACCTCATTCAAATGACATCGACTAGACAAGTGGATGTTGATCCGATATGCAGACAACATGGAAGGAGGCCATCTGGTGATAAATCAGTCACACCAATGATCGGAAGTTAGATCAAAGACAGGCCAGTCGGTAGCAGCAGTCGCAGAAGTAAACAAGGAAGGACGAGTCAACCCACCGAAAAGCCAATAGCACTCGAGGTCGGCAAACACCGTTCGTAAACATTCATGCGGCCAAAGGCACCACTTCCTTACCAAGTGAATTCCGATAAATTCATCTAGCCCAATGATGAGGCATCCAAGGACAAACGCTTAATAATTATCATCCTTATCCTGAGTTACAGACCTTTCCTACCATCTTAATCCCGATATCTGTGTGGACCCAACTGGAGTAAGCTGCGTGACGCGTTGAAATGGTGTCGATCCATGAACCAGTCTGAAAAAGTAGACCGAAACCGCAACTGCGGACAGACGGTTGGTTCGAGAACGACAGTCACGGAGCATAGAGAAGAAGGTAAGGGGTGCAAAGGGCTACAGGCTAAGCTCTTTCATTTCATCTAGTGTCCCGTCATCAGTCTATCCACTTCAGAAAGACTACTCTACAGGAGGCGTGGAGGATATTGCTGAACATCAGGAATACTACTTCTTTCCAAACGACCTGAGAAAAACTGCCACCATAAGAGTATTTTTGACGTCTTCGGAAAAAGCCTAGGACACAGTTATCGTTCCACTTCCCTTAGGCGTCATCAGTTTTTGAGCATAAACCCAAAACTACACATCCCGAGAGCAACCATGTAGATAGAGAAACATCACTCCTGTCAGTTTACACGAGGCTGCAATTATGATGGTACCTGTGATACCTTGGTAAGCGAGCGTGTCTAATGAGGGCGATATCTCCACGATGTTAGGTACTGAAAGTAGGTGGTATCGGTAGTGAAGCTAAGGAATTGTTTGCTCATCCGTCTCCTGGCGCGTGTTATCATTCGGTAGCAAGCTTTTGCGCGATAGCCAAGGAGACTCTTCCTTGCCACAGCATGGTCAATTATGAGGCCGTGAGAAACTACCTAATGAATTCGTAATCAAAAGTCCCACGACAGATGTGCACTGGACACGGATGGACATAATACTTGTGGCCATCCGCCACCGTGTGCCTGAGGTAACATGCCGACTGTTAGTGAAAGCCTCGCGATTGAGGCACGAAACAGAGGGGCCACTTTAAACCGAGAAGCATGCCTCGTTCAAGATTTGCTCATCACGACTTCTTAATACGCAAAAGAATTCGCAACCACTGCAACGAAGGGGTCCGTGGCGACGGGTTTGGCTGTCAATCGAATCTGGCAAGGAGGCTAAAAGGTAACCTGAAGAGCGTGTGAAGCTTTATGTAGAAGAAGTTGACCAAAGATGGAGTGAACCTCATCAGGGGTCCCGATAGAGACCCGTGGAACAGCTGGGACATGGTCAGTTTTCTGAGCTAAGGCTTTGGGTTGCAGCTTGGTGCCTCTGACACCAAACTCGTGTGGATTGATGCGACACCGGCCAGACCATAAACAGTGGATACCCTTGCCAAGCCCAGCCACGCAGAAAAATAAACCAGAAAAATAATCCAAGATCTGTCCGATCCTATGGCAACCTGAAACCAATAGTCCTCAAGAACTGCTGAGGTGCCATGCCACCGAACCCACATGGCGAACGCACACAGCCCAAGGTCATGACTGTGCTATCTGCCCCACCTTAAAGAATACTGGACTTTATCAAGGCGCCTGACAGTGTTAATCATCACTGCTTTGTTGGTAAACTGAAATTAATTGGGATTAACCCACGGCTGATTGACCGGTTGCCTTCAAATCTGCGAGGTCGTTCGTTTAAGGCTCGAGTGAGCTTCTCTGTATTCGAAGAATGCTTTAAAGAGATTTCCCAGGGCCCTGTACTGGGGTCTCTTCTTTTCCCACCGTACATGAAAAACTTACCTCGTTAGGTTTCTTCTGAAATCGTTTTTGCCAGTGACGTGGAACTACGGAGAGAAATCAAAATTAAGGAAGACAGTGTTTCGCTGCAGAAGGATGCAATCTAATTCCCAAGCCAGGCAGTCGATAATGTTCTCGGATTTTTTCCCGCAAAATGCGAGGTTGTCTGATTGAATCGTGGTGGATATTATGTGCACGGGCTTAACAACATCGAAATTAAAGCGTTACGGATGGATAAGAAGTTGGGCGTTTTAGTCCTTCAAGACTTGAAGTCCTATGCCAACAGTGGCACTGAAGCATTTTGCGGGGACTTCACGTTGGGAGCCCTGGAACGAATTTCCGGATGGCTTGATCTTAGATATTTTCATCAAATTTTCAACGACTTCGTACAGTTTCACATGCAGTTCGGGCCCATCATCTTCGCTTCCTCCTTGCAGAAGTATAAAAGAAGCCTAGAACGCGTCAAGAAGCAGTCTACCGAACCTGTTCAAGGACTTAGGTCTAAAATACATGAAGAACGGCTGGTTCTGCTGCATCTGCATCCCTCGGAAAATGGGAGGCTGGGAGGAGACTTGATAATGGCTCGCAACGCATCGAATACCCGTGGAGGCCCACTTTGTCACTTACCATCATCAATCTTAGTGGACAAAAGCAGGAACTAAGCCTAGAATGTAGCAGATAGGATGTTATGCACAGCCTACGTTCCCCGGGAGTTGCCAAACCCTGTGATTATGTTCCCGCAGAGTGGCCCAGGCTACTTCATCTGAATCCCTTTAACTTTAAGCGCCAGCTGGGTGCTTATTTACGATGTGGCTGATATCTGCCGGGACTATTTTACTTTTCACACTTTAACCTTGGCGGTTTGCTCCCTCTTTACTTCATGCAGGTCGACAGCCACCACAAGTGGGGAGACACGGATTCTGGACGCCGATATCGGTTGAGCGAATAACTCTTCCATTCCTTTAACAACCATTTGAGCCATTAGGGGCGACGTTCGACACTTGACAAACATTCCATCGGGCGACCAAAACTGCCATCCTCCTGAGAAACCTTCAGCACTACCAAATTTAAGGGGGATGCATGAAATAAAGGCAACTCTAGCTATGCTTCTAGAAAAGCTGTCAAAAGTCTGTGTAGGAAAATCACCATGAGGCAATGACATTTGACTGTCCGCGTTGAAACAGTGTGCTCGTGCCTCATGTGGTCTGCTCTGCAGCCTGTTTCACCCCCTGCTAGACACATGTCTGCTTCTGCGAGAGTGGAAGCGCGCTACTCTCCTGGTCACCTTGGAAGGAGAGGGAGACAGGCAGAAACCGGAATACTATCGAATTGTGGCACTTCTATCAGTGCTGCCGGAGGTGGTGGTCAGCGTGGTATTTGGCCGAGGCATAGATTACCTGAGCAAAGGAAGAACGCTAAGTGGTACTCGTCACGGTTTTTGAAGAGGTTGGTCTGCGTCTCAAACCCCCTGGCACCTAACGATAACTAGACGGCATCCCCAGACCTCCAAGTTCCCGTTCGTGTGGTTTTCCTGGATTTCGTCAAGGCCCTCGCCTCAGCCCCACACCTCATTCTCACACGCAGAACGGCAAGGTCTGGCATCGGTAAACAGGTGCTCTCCTGGCTGGAGGACTATTCAGACGCCAAGGAATTCTGCACACAAGTCAGCAGGGTTTGCTCAACTTGGGAGAACTCATCATCCAGTGTATCACAAGCAGCGATTCTCCGACCTCTGCTGTTTCTCCCCTTCGCGAATGACCTCTTATTGAGTCTCACCACACTGATTCTACCTTGCGCTGACGACGTTAGGTCATAGATAGCCATGGCGTCTGAAACAAAAGTAAGTGTACCACAAGGTGATCTCAGGTTACTTGTAGAGTTGGCGAATAACAATAGACTAGCATGTGGGCCGGATAAAAGCCGAGGCATGTTACTCCACATTCCTGACTCGCAAAAGGTGTTCAACTCTCTGTTGTATGCAAATTTCCAACACGACCCCGGAGAAGGACCCGAAGCTAACACTGGCCAGCAAGCCAAACACCTGATCCAGTTGTCCAGAAGAGCCTATGCAGTGCTGCGCTCTTTTTTTCATTTTTATTCTCTCTTCATTCCTTTGCCACTACCTTAATATTCTCTTTCAGGAACCTACACAGACAGGAGTCACGGCAGTTCTCTAAACTTCCCAGCAACCAGTAGCTCCATAATCACTCTACAAATTACAACCTACTAACCCACAAAACATCCACCTCACCGAAGCTAAAAGCAAGAAAGCAGAGGGGAATTCCTCGTCCACTGCAGGAGTGAACCGAACAACTCGAACCAAGCCCTAAGAACTAGACGCGAGAGATCAAAACTACCAGTTTCCTGCGCTCGCACTATCAATATTGGATATTGGGTGGTGGGCGCCCCAGTAGAAAATTACGTTACATGTAAGCGAACCCCATTTTTAGTAAATCTCACCTTAACTTTTAAACCAGCACTTTATTCATCTGAGATATCTTCTGACAGATTTGGTGGATGTGAAACAGAAAAAACAGGAAATCTACCCCACATGTATATCAGTCTACTTAATAATAAGACGTTAGACCGAATATAGGGCCTTACACCAGTTTTGCAACATTTTCGTTGAATCTGGTACGAAGTTTTTGGGCCCTGTGCTTGGCCTAAGTTTTCTGCATTAGGCCCAGTGTGTGACCCGACATTTTTTACAATGGGCGTACTGGTCCGCTGTTTGTCCCAAATTAACCGTGCTTCTACGTTTAACTCCATTAAGACTATATCTGGCCTCGCATCAGAATTATGACCCGACGTTTTCCCATTCGACCTGAAGAAATTACTGATTATTAAACACTTGTTACATATATACCGACCTAATGAGTGCGGAAAATACTTTGGTTTATCAGGAAGAAATACGATTTTTTATATATCTTTTGACATTGGCTCAGTGGTTTTTCGCACAAGCTACACCTGTGCGAAAACACGAATCTTTGGTGAACTGCACCACAGAAACAGTTGAAAAGTCCCAACCAATTTGTCTTTATCTTCCATCTTATTCGTTTGCTGCTTGATGTGCTAATATAAGGTGCTTACACTTGAACTGCTATGCAGTAATGCATAGTTTTGTGTTAATCTCGTTTTTCTGTCTGAACTATATATATACAGTTTACAGAGTGAAGCCCTAAGCACTGTTAGATTATAAATTCTGGCAGCAACAATAATGGTTGATCAAATAGAGCGAGTGATTGTCAGGTTAGTTGTGTGCATCTCAGTAGCTATTGATCTATTCTACTGTGTCAAAAGCTCTGTTTAATACCATTATGGCCGAATAAAACTGGTCTGATTGTCGGGGTCATTTGAAAACAATTGTTTGTGTACTATGAGTTGATTAATGTAGACTAGATGAGTGCTAATCCACTTTCATCGGAGTAGCCAGTCAGATCTTTTTCAGCAGGCTACGATTAAATCTAGAGGACCCTGAAGGAAATAATTCAGTCGATAGGTGTTTTGAATGTTATCGCAAACCATTATGGGTCTGGTTTTGCTTGAAGTTATTCATGGTTTTAGTGTAGATATGGATATTTGTAGCAGTCCAACTTGAACCAGTTAACAAGATATTGGCGTCCACATGCTCTGAATATTAATGACTCAATCCTCACAAACCCGAAATATGTTGAACAGGTCCTGTTAGGTGTCACAAATACCAGAAAGCGGTTGCCATTAAGAGTTTAGCTAATATAGTCGCAGAAACTTCCACAAATAAAATCAGATTCTAACCTATAACTCTGAAAGTGAGAAACGCTAAAGCTCATTGACTCCGACTTTTTATAAGACATGTGTTGGGTAAAAGTATGTGATTATTTTTTTCAGTTTCATAAGTATGGTTATTCAAAGAAGGAGCCGAACACCCCATGATGTTCTTATCAGTCCCGTAGAAACACTGCCCCAATTAAACCTACCCTACAAAGCTCTAACTGTACAAAATAAACTGACACAAATGAGTGACGAAGTGGATATCCAAGGGTGTTCAGTATCTTGTGAGCCATTATCAGGTCTTCTTGAATCCTTCTATTATTCCAAGGGATACAGATCCAGCTGTTCCTCATAGGTTTTAGATCTAAGTCCTCGAACAGATTCGGTCGACCGCGTCCAAGAGATGTGTTTTTATTCCCTTAAGGTTCAGTGTTCTTAAGGAACTCCCACTAACAGGAATTGTAATGGATGTCCTCGCTGCCTGTATTTTCAGGTATACCGTATATTATCAGGTTCCTTCCCCCAAAGTAGGTCTCACGACTGTCACCCGAGAGTTTCTTTATATCCACTTACTTGAAGTGTGGGATATCGGGTAGCATTCTTATTTTTCCTTCAACCTATAGCACGTGAGATGCTAACAGCACATCCTCAACATCATCGGAATCCGAGAATGCCAAACTTAAGAGCCCGGGGTTGGGTGGGGACCGTGAACGATCCTAGATGCAGCTATTGGCCTAATGTGGTTTAGCTTAAGTTTGCTGTATATGTTTTCCTACAGAACCCTATCTTTGTTATCCTGAAGGCTGTATGGGAGGTTGAGAGCTATCTGTCAGGTTCATGATAATCGCAGAATTTTCACCACAGCCTGTTTCAAACCTTGTTACAATCTCATATGCGTAATTACTCGAAAAGTTGATGGAAATCTATGCTCATACACCGTCTGTGTTGTTAGGGACCTCACTTATGTCACATCAAATTCATGAATTTTCTCAATTTTGTCACCGGAAAGACAAGAAAAGATCTAATGCGAAAACTATCGATCTCTTTCGAACGACATGCCTCTGAATCCTCTCCCTATCAATTCAAACAAATATGTGACTTATTTACAGTCTATTCAGCTGACTTATCGATAAAGAAGTTTTACCTCTCGAATTTAACTTTTCTGTCCCTCATACAGAAATTTCCAAACTGGCGATTGATGCTCAGTTTGAATATCTTTATGATCAACTGAGTTCATTTGTTCCAGCTTCTGAAAATCATAGCTGACTGGAAGCTAAATTTGTCGATATCGCGCATATGTCAATAGTTCTGAATCCAAAATGAGATGCACCCTGACTTCTCGGCATTTTAACGCATTGATTTAGCTTGGCACTGCATGCAGGAGTTACTACAGTATGAGTCAGAACAAGATAAATAAGTCTGGGTTGATCAAGTATCCAAGTACTAAGCATTACACTATCATGTTGTGTATTTTCCAGCCTAAGCAAATATTTTCTGTATTCATTTGAAAAGTTGACGTCAACTTTAGTCACAGAAAATGAAGACGCTACATCCTCAGAGTCGTAAGGCTGCTCAGGAAAAGAAACACTTTCATCATGTACAGCGTGTTGTCAAGTGAGTTAGCTAATATTTTCTTATTCAAATGCTCATAGAAGACAAAAACAACGTGATATAAGGACGCGTATAATGAGTAAGTAGGAGTTATCAAACCTTAACACACAGTTTCCAAATTGTCATGGTTCCGTGATCATTTGCCAAATGATTGTCGATCTATGAATCAGAATGACATCAACAAGCTTATTTCCAGGTATGGGACTTTCTAAATTTCACTTTGAAGGTACCTACAACGTGCCGGAGGAGACGTAAGCACGAAATCAGGACCAGTATCAGTTTCCACAGATATGAATAACCTGTACATTCAACAAGAATCTCAAGAGTATATAACGTGTGGAATCGAAATCCCAGATCTGTCTTCGAAACTCAATCTAGAAAACCTCCGGTAAGTTCATCCTTAGTTGAACACGCAACTTCATCCATAGTGAGTGGAATGGGGATCCTGACAAAGTGCATACAATTGCTATGACCACCGTAAGAAAATCAAAACGATAGCATTTGTACAAGTAAAAAATATATTAATCTATTAAAGCAGTCATTATTTTTCGATGATACTGATGGGCTGAACAAAAAATATTTATCATGCGTGGATCGGATTCATTTTGATCTTGACAGCATGTTCGACAGACCGACCGAGCACAGTTTGCACTCTGAAACAAAAAGTGCAGACATAAAATTACGTATGTTTGTATGATATTAGTGTCAGAAACCATGCATAGTTGCGAGCACTACGCAATGAGCAATGTCGATTATGCAAGCGCTTGTATGCCTCTTCGTTACCTAAACCTTGGTAGGTAGAGTTGGTATGAAACTGTGACCCGAATATGGAATAACCATTACTTCCACCAATGTGCCAGTTTTCGAACAGGAAACTTAGATTGAAAGTACCTAGACCACAGTTATCACGGATTTCCTACAATGTATATTTAATAAGAAGATTAAGTTGTTTGGAAACAAAAAGACAATTGTAACTGGGAATATTTCCAATGCTATTTACAAGTGTAAACAGTGCAATTTAAATTTATCCTACGGTTGTGATAAATGATCACCATCCAACCTTAACGCACAGCAATCACACTTTAGTGGAGTTCAATCGTTTCATGGTTTACAGCGTCAGTGAACTGCAGATGTGCTGGATCCAGGTAATTTGAGTTTGCAAAAGTTCTAGTATGTGGTAAGTTAACTGAGATAAATGCTATCGAGTGCTGATTGATCATTACTAAGTAAAACTATGTACACTTTGTGATAGTTAGTACTAAATGTGATACAACTAATAGCTCCCAATGTTATGCTTAATAATACCAACTGGATGGAAGTGGCATTTGTAGTCCCCACTAAAACCCCGACTTGAGCAACTCTATTCCGCATCTGTGGTCCCTACGTGATTGACGTCTTACCGTCAGTATTGTTCAAACTCTAGTTAGTCAGTAGGCTTGTTCACTAGACGGAAAAACTTTTCAGTACTTACCATGCTTAATCAGACGTTCAAATCAACAACAAATGCATCTAGTCACCAACGTATGTCCTCATCTTGGTAACCAGTCGATTTCACTTATCTACATTTCTAAGTTTACGATGGTCTTTCACTTTTGAAAACTACACATAAAATGACAGTCATGCCGAAGTCACGTGTATGATTATGCTAAAATGTGTCCACTCCTAAGAATTAAACGCGCTTGGGAACCAAGGGCATGTTCGTGCAGTAGGCGGTGAACTACATCTAGTGAGAGGGTTAGTGGTACTACCTGGCTACCCCAGACGTCGGCAGGTGCAGCAGGGTTCGACCACGTAACCCATCGACTGAAAGTTGAGTGCCCAGACCAATGAGTTACAGTTATGGTCTTCAGCGTTGGTTTTACAGCCGGTTGGTAGTGACATCAGGCTTTTTCAGAATGAGTGACGTTATCCTGTTCCTATAAATATCGAACAATTTGGACCGTTATACAGTAATGCCTGGTTCTGTGTTGATCTTGCCTATCTGCCTACTCAGTTTCCCGTTAAAATCATCGGCTTCACTCGAAATATCCTTGTTCCTGTAGCTTTTCCACGTCGATTTAGGTGCAGGTGTACGCACGCTTGAGTCAGTCCTCTACCAATGTCCATACACGTGCTCCAGAAGGAGCGGCAGTTTTCCGTCGACCCTCAGAGATAATTGATATAATTATGGTCATCTGTGTCCACCTCTGAATTTAGTTTGGTGGATGCCACATCAGATGATATATCTGTTTACGTCTGAAGTTCGCGTTGGTTCATACAGCTGTAGCAGGCGATCGCCGTTATCTGTTGGTTCACCCGGGATTCCATTTCTTGCTGCATTAGAAAATTCACTCGCGCAATGAAATCAACTGCTACGGCAACCACATCTGAACGTTTTAAGTTTATGACTTATTTTTCACTTCATGCAAACCGGAGTCAGTGGGTGCATATACAGAGATTACAAAGTGACGGCGAGTTTCATTGTTCCTTTGAGTCTTGACTGAACCGTTCAGTCGAACACCGCATACACAACTGTCAACTAAAATCCAGTCGAGCAGTGCACTTTTGATCTTAACACTCAGTAGTACACCTGCACTACTCCAAGAAATAGCTACCGAATATCGAGAAGATCAAGTGAATTTCGCAGATTCAATATACTGAAGTTGAGCGGACAACCGTATCTGGATCCTGTATGCGCTTCGCACAAACAACGCATGCCCAAGGTCGGAGATGCTAGAGTTTTGGCTAGGGAAGTTTGTTTGCCAATTTGACGGAGATCGCTGACATTTAGAACTCTCATGTGTGGTTTGGAGTACGGTTCGAGAGCAGACCATAGATGCTGTTTCGTGAACTCACCGTTATCGAGAGCTGCACCCGGAGGGCCACAGGGTAGAATGGTCTACTTTGAGGGCCAATTTCTCGAGGCTCCCCTCTCACGGGGAAGGCAACATCATGGTACTGTCGGTTATCCGTGAGTAACATCTCACTTGTTACATCCCCGGTAGGCCAGCACAACTCAGCTTTCGGATCCCCGTCTAAAGCGTAGTAATTTACAGGATAACGGCAACTGCTTTTGGCCTAACCATTATCCAAGTGAACTTTCTGTTACGGTAGGTACGTAGCAAACAAGTGTTGCACCAGTATAGCTCGTCAGTTTGTTGTGATATGCACGCGCGACCACTTCAGGCAAGTAGCTATCGGTCGACTTGATCTTGGTTATGTACCTACGGTTTATTTCTTAGTGACTATAGGATAAACAAGGAATCTTTCATCATACTAAGTGGTGTGCATTGCTCCATATGAAGAAGAAGCTTGTTCAAAAACATGCTGACATTAGGTTATTGAATAGAATGTCCAACCAAATACACAGCGAAACATTCAGAAAAATATGTTTTTCGACTTTCTAAACAAGCTGGGATTACACTAAGACGTATAATGACTAAATCAGAGTAGGCACTTAAATTCTTACAGGACAATCTTAACAACTTTAAATATTAATAATCATTTTTAGAAGTTGAAAATCTGTTTGATGTGTAGCAGTCAACAAATCAATTCATCTAAAAGCTATCAATAAATAAATGGCAATGGCTAACCTGTTCGGCGTGCAACTGAAATAAAAAAGCATCGATTTGTGCAGTTCCCAGTGTGGTCAGTCGCGCACACTGGCTGCTTTTGTGTGCAGTAAGATAAGCATAAACTTTCGTGAAAGGTAATAGTCAGTGAAGCGTGAAAATTGTGAAGTGACACCGGTTTTATCAGATGTTCAATTAATGAAATATATTGAAAACTAGCTTAAAATAAACTTGCCTTACGATTTCTGTTACAACTAGCACAAATGAGTTTCCCTTCGATAACTGCCAACTTTTTAGCTAGTTTGGCCTCCTTTTTCATAGCTTTGCGACTGCGCCTTTGCTCTGTTAGCATAATTCTTTTGTTCAACCCGCTGTTATTAGCTTCTTGAATATCTGATCGATCGATGGAATCCACCGAATTCTCAAGATTCTTTAGTTCTGACGCTAACTTTGGGCGTTCATATGGCTGACATATCCAATGTGGATGTGGTAGTTCGGTTAAGCTATTTCCGATACATGACTATTATGATGATAAGGAAAATAGAAACTAAAATTACTCGTAATACTAAAATTAATTCATGAAGCTTATAAAATGGATCTGAAACTAGTTGGAGTTGGTCTTCACAAATTCCCTGCTTTCGAACAACAACCTTACTTACATCTACCTTTATAGTACTTTTTGCTCAACACATTTCACCTTTTAAAGTAAAAAGGAAAAACGACTTATAAAGCCATACAAAATACACTGGTATTGATTAACAATGAAATAACCAAAAAGGAGAAAAATATTCAAATTTAAAAAGCTAGTACACAAATGGACAGAGAGCAAACACACATTAATTAGTCAGTTGAGAATGGGTCAGTTTTATGCTATCCAGCCCCAGGTGCTGACCAAATTTTACCGATTACTATGCGATTTGGTCACCTACTTAGAATAAACAGTGTGAAATCAATTACTCTCCAATGATCGGTCAGTGTATCTAACCCAGTTCTACAGTACGGCAATCACGGCTGAAACAGCTCAGTGGTAACGTTTCTTACTGCAGATTTGGATCTCTGAGGGGACACCAGCTCCATCAAAGATTCAGATATAACAAGCATGAAACCTAGGCGCAGGGACCTTCTGCCGACCGTCTCCAACCACCTGACATCAAACAGTCGTAGCTAAAGGGAGATGTTAACGACTTAGCATGGGATATAAAGTAAGTGTATTCGTATCTATGTGTGATCAATTCCGAATCATAACGCATAGGATACTGATATCCTGAGGACTACAATTGGTACATTTCTCTTCAGACCAATACCAACTAGCTGGCGGCCTGCTTGAACTCTAGACTCCCTTTTTAAATCACGGAATATATTGCACCAAATTTCTCATTTCTGTATTGTTTTAATCGTTCAATTATGTCAACCAATTGTATTGCATATTCCCACGCGTTTTTAAAACTATTACAACCTGTCACTTCACAAGTTGGTAGGCATATAAAGAAGCACCATGGTGGATGGCAACGGGCTCTCAAGCTTATGACCGTAGATCGAATCACTATCTCGGAAATACTTAGCACATACTCAGCAGATCATTGCTGAATGAAGTTGATTACCTATATTCACTCTTGTCTACAAATGTTCATCGAAACACGAGTGTAATAACGCTACAGGAAACATGACTTCATAACCTGTATGATGATGATTTAGTCTGCTTAGATGGTTTCAAATTATTTCGACAGGATCGAAGCTTCTCAAGAAGAAATGTGGTGGTGTAGCAACATTCATCAATACAAACTGATCCTCCCCCAACTATGTATGCTTCTGCTTCTGTAAAGAAAAAATTGAGTGCATTACCATCAAATATAGTCCCAAACATCTGAGCTAATACAAACAATATATATATATATATATATATATATATATATATATATATATATATATATATATATATATATATATATATATAACGTTTATGTCACACCTGACTGTCGTTTCTCAGATTTGTCAACTTTTGCTGATGTATTCACTGAATTTGCTGTTCGGCTCTGGGTAGCTCCTTGTCTATAGTCTGTGGAGATTTTAACCTATGTGACTGCAGTTTTTTAGTATAGTTGAGTCACAAAAGTATGGTTAACTTTTCCACTCATCTTAACAACACCTAGACTTAGTATTTACATATGAACCTGGAATATATGAAGCCTGTAAATGGGCTCCGCTGCTAATTTTTACCACTGTATTGTTCGTCTTTTGCCTAAAGTGTACGACAAATTACACAAGAAAGCTTTCGGATACCTTTTCAGGAAAGTTCAATACAGATGCTATTTACAAGAGAATATATTTGGTTTGAGAAGCATGCTTATCGAAACAAACTACAATATATTTGCTGGTGAAGTTTTAGACACCAATATTACAAGCTATCTCAGGTTTTGTCTTGATATCTGCCGAAACAATCTACACGAGATTCGACAGACTTTCCTCTCCTCATCTCAAGAGGTTCCGGAGAGAAAAGGAAAGGTTGTGAAAGACGACAGATCATTCTGGCGTTAAAAGGCTTAACTGCCAATTAAGTCTGAAATACGTCCGAATATTATATACAACCAGAAGTTCCTATCGTGTAAGAACTCTTCCAATATATGGAAATTATTTAAAGAGCTTACTGATAGAAACAGATGACAAAAGAAACGTGTTCTGATGTCTGCGCGTTAAACAAATCATTTATACATCGGCAAGCTGATTTCACCCTTCCTTATGTCCAAAGCCAAGTGGATAGCTGCTTTCCAGGTTTCAATGCACATGATGTATTTAAATGTATTGTATGTTTAAAATCCTTGAATCCCTCCCAAAGCTTAGGTCCTGATGGTGTTTCTAGTATTATATTTAGAAAATGTGCAGATATTTTGTCATTCACTTACAGATATCTTCAATGTATCGTTCTCTAAAAATGTAATACCCACTTCTTGAAAGGAGATAAAAATGGTACCTGTGCCTAAGTCATCTTCTGCACCATATGTTACTTTTCGACTCATCGCCATAACTTCCCCTTTTCTGAAGACAATGGAGAAATTACTTCTCCTTGTGAATGAGCCTTCATTGATGGTTTTCAGAGATCCAAAACAGTTTGCTTACAAACACCGGAGGAGTACTTTAGACGCAGTCACTGTCTCGCATCATAATATTGTTTTCCGGTCTCCACAAAGGTGTTAAGTATGTTTGTTGTGCCTTTTGGATTACTCATCGGCCTTTGAATCTGCTCCTAGACCACTCCTGTTAAATAAGCTTTCCATAGCTCACACTGAGCCATGGGTTACAAAGTGTTTGTGTTCTTGTTTTTCTGAGAAGAAGCAGTACACTGTCTATAAAGGGAAGCGCTTGACTTCATTGCTTACTGAAGCTGGTGTTCCTCAAGGTGCTGTACTTCCTCCTTTTCTGCTTTCGTTCTTTTTGCACGATTTACCTATTCTGTTGAAACTAATTTTATTAAGTATTCCAGTTAACTCTCACTTAGATTGCTCTAAATTAAATGAATTATTGTCTGTAGTTGGCCAATAGTCTCTCTCATATGGTCTCAAGTTGAATCCTTCTAAATGTCAGACTGTTAATTCTAGCCTCAGGCGTAGACAAGACTTGTGTGAGCTGCTTAAATCTCATGACGCCTGTTGCATTGATGGTATTTCTGCAGAAAGTAAATCTTGGGTTGGGTTTTACTTCTGACCTTTGTTGGTCGTCCCATATTTTGTTGACCTGTAAAAAATCTTTCGTTTAACTTATTACATAAAGAAACTGAGGCTCTCTGGTATGACTCAACCTCTTGTTTTACAATTTATTAGTTCCTGCATTTTACTTGCTCTTCTATATTGTTCCTCATTGATCTTTCCTGGTCTTCTAAAAAGGACTATGTTATGATGTTGCGTAGGGCTTTGAAAGCCGTCAGTAGGGTGAGTGGTGTGCCTCTGGCTCAACTGATTAACACTGTAGTTGATAGACATTTAAATTACAGCAAGCAACTAGCTACAGAAATTTTAACTGACACCGAGCAACCACTTCATTCACAGCTCTCTCCATGTATCTCCTCAGAGAGGACAAGGAGAAACTACATAAGACTGTATGCTTGTACAGCAAAGTATAAGAATTCGACTGCACATTACCTAGAACGCATATTTTGTGAAGAAACAAGTGTTAGAGCGGAAATCACACATCAACTTTGTAACAGTTAAAAACTCCACTTCAATGATTCAACTAACAATGTGAAATTTTCTCGTTTTTATTCTTTACATTACTTAAATTTTTATGATAAAACAATTCGAAATGTGGTAAAAGAGTATGCATATACTTATACTTTGTTGTTGTTGCAGTATATTCTAATATTCCAAATTGTACCACAAATTGCTTAGAACAAAGTGAATTATTATCATTATTAAAAGAATGTCGTAAACATTCAGTTTAAAGGATTTTCACCTTGTCGCATCTTACTGTGTGGTCGTGTGTAATTGTATGCATAACAATGGCCGACCTTTTTCTAAATTCGTTATTGCCAATACTGACCTAGCATATCTTTTAACCTACAACCCTATTTTCTAAGTTTGTAGGTTTAAATGCCACTCTAATCCTAGCCTTAGTGAGAATCCTACGCAATGTCTCTGAAGTGCCTTCCTTGTACATAGTATATGTAATAACACACAATAGGATGGGGACAGAGTGGCAATCCTTAAAATTAACAAAGCGAGATAGAGGGGGTGATTGATAACTGAATCCTTGTTTATTGAATCAACAACTAATACATGCACAAGAATGACTCAGCACCTGTTCCAGGTATATGGAAAATCCTACTACCCACAAAGGAGGCGGGAAAATTAGAACTACATAAAGCATGTCTCAAAGCCGTGGAGTTATTTTGATATGACCATGGATAATACGTTATGTCCGAAAGGAGATCCAGCAAATAATACTGTTCCACTATGTGATACATCTAATAAATCAAATAAAACGGATTTAAGCAATACACTTGATGACTATTTTTACAAACAGTTACTCAAAAAACTCTCGATCCCAAAAGTTACCTGCTACGTTTGGTTAAGAGAAAATGCCCAGTGTGAGTCATAGGTAAATTTACCTTTATGTCTTGTGTTATGACCATCTAGTTGGTTTCCTGATGATCATAAATGGAACAAATGCTGACAGGAAATACTACAGAGCAAATGAAATCATCTTTTCAGTTTTAATATAACCGTCATTTTACAATTATCTACTGGTGAAGTTTAACAGTATTTTATGTTTCTGGAGGATTTATTTGCGAATGGTGTTTCATTTTATCTTAACTTACTTGAGTGTCTATATAATTGGATTGCTTTCTTAAGGTATCCGTTAGATTTCGATTTTAACAGGCTTTTTCGTTCGTGATCGGGACTCTATAACTGCTGTTAGAGTGTAGGAATTTTTCATACTGAGAAAAAAGCATTGAGGTGTAACAACGCGTTTGACGTACGTTTTCATAATGTATATATGATTTAAAATATATGAAAATCCACTGAAATTAGCTAGTAATAACAATTTTTACAAGGTTTCACCTACAGAACACTGATTCTGCATCTTTTGTAATGCTTTTTTTATTTCTTCAATTGATTGGGCTGATCCAACTGTTGGACGAAATTCAGAATGTTCATCCAATCTGGTTATTTCAGAAAGAGATAATAACTTTGGAATATCTTTGTGGCAAATGTATAAAAGCATGTAAGCGAAATAAAACATTGCACATAGATGAGATTAACATGAATTCCTTGCACATGTAAAATGTACCCCTGTCGACTGGTGCTGTTTTACAATAGTAGAAAAACTATGCTGTACTACTGAAAAATGTGAGTAGTCAGAAACCAGCCACGCTGGGTTAGTTATCTAAACTGCTCGATTCAGTAGTATATCTCGTTTGTGTCAGGAATCACATTGAGATTCGCACTGTCTTGAGATACCACGGTCGAGTAGTTGAAAACTACTCATTTATGAGAAATATATTAACGTGGAATGTACAATTAGCAAAATGATAGTTCACAAACCGTGTTAGCAGCATACGAAACAGCTATAAACAGGTAATCCGTCCATGTTTTATGGACGCTTTGTAGGGTTTTGACTGATTTGTTTCAGGCACTCATAGTTCATGTATTCGAAACCTCGCTCCAATGGGTTTTGATCAGCTGGATAGTGTCATCGACCTTCACACAATAGATGCACTTCATAATCCAGTGCGAAACATAATGCTTAGTATGAGAAATAATCTCATTTGTGCGGGCTGAAAAACGAATTCGTTGAAAAGAGACTTTTGGATTGATCCATTAGACACTTTATTGTGTGGGAACTGATGACACAACCTGGTGCCATATAATGAAGTAGATTTGATGGGCTCAAAATTTATAAATTAGTATGTGAGTTATTAAGAAATAGCCCAACATTAATTCATTGGTCACAGAGTAAGCAATGGTTACTACCTTAACGACATTCTGTGCTTCCCCTTGCTTTTCTAGAGCTTTGGCTGATAGGCATTACTAAAACATATCGGCAGTGAAAATATATTCAACTACATTTAAAACACCGGTCTTCGACGGGCAAATAGACACGGAAACAAAATGCATGAACTACGCCTACCATTCTCTTCACTTTGCTTAAGTATTACAATCCGAATATCATCGTTTCCTGACCGATAGCTGCTACCTTGACGTGGTGGTCGGGCTTGCATATCACAATGACCCAACGAGCTATGCTGGTGGAACGCTTGTTCCCTCGAGGTCCTACCATACCAGAAAGGTCTGTTGGGTAGTGGTTAGACGAAAAGCAGTTACCGTCATAGTGTAAATTGCTATACTATGATGGGGGTCTGAGGGCGAAGTCGTACTGCTGCTAGCTGGATGGGGTGTGACAGCAGTAAGGTGTTTCCCTTGGATGACCAGCAGTGCCAAGCTGATGCTGCCTTCTCAGTGGAAGGGGGGGTTAGAAAAGGTCGGCCCCAAAAATAACACACTCCACCACGCCCCACGGTCTGCCGGGCCGGCGGTGTTGGTTCACTTGTCGTTTCCTTTCGCTCATCCGGCCCCAAAAATACAAAAATTCAAAATAATCATACTCAAAAGGCTGGGTGTGACAGGCCTCAAGCAGATGTCCGATGGGCTCTGCGGTCACACAAATCTCTTTCAGGTACCTTAAGAAGAAATAGCCTTCCACGGTGTGGGCAGCCGGGAAGTGTCAACCGCCCTCACAACTCTGTCAGCACCCAAGTTTCTTCTGACTGCTATCCTCCTCCTCCATCATTACCTTCTAATCTTCCTTCACGTCTCTTAATTAATGATGCTGCATCATCTTCAATTTCTCCTACCTCTGCAGCCTTCGACAACGATCTGAGTCCACAGAACAGTGTCCCTGGTCTCCTTAAACCACGCTCCAAATTACATATTGGAGCCTTCAATGTCCGCACCCTCCGTCAAATTGGCCAACAGGCTTCGTTGGCAAAGACTCTAGCAACTCCGGGCATGGATGTGTGCTGTGTTTGTGAGACACGCATACAGGACCCAAGTGTGGTTATTCACCTGACCTCTCCTGACCAATCTGGTGAATCTGCAAAATTCACCCTTCGAGTTTCTGGAGATTCGATAGCTAGCTCTCGTGGTCTTGCAGGTGTAGGTATAGCATTAAGCACCAGGGCAGAAAACTCACTACTAGACTGGATCCCAGTTGATAGTCGCCTCTGCGCTATGAGGCTGAACGGCACAGTGAGAACTAAAAGGAATAGTGAGACTCGCCGTTGTCTCTTTGTAATCTCTGCTTACGCACCCACTGACTGTAGTTCGGATGAAGTGAAGGACGAGTTCTACCATAAACTGTCTAACCTCCTCTCGAAAGCCAAACGTTCGGACGTAGTGGTTGTTGCAGGTGACCTCAACGCACAGGTGGGTAGACTGAGTGAGGCAGAAAGGCACTTAGGTGGCACTTTCGGAATCCCAGCTGAACGTACAGATAACGGTGATCGCCTATTACAACTATGCTCAGATAACCGCCTATTTTTAGCCAGCACAAATTTCAGACATAAAGAAAGGCACTGTCTGACCTGGCGTCCACCGAGCTCGACTCAGCGATGGACACAGATAGACCACATTGCTATTAGTCATCGCTGGAGAGGATCGGTGGAAGACTGCCGCTCCTTCTGGAGTACGTGTTTGGACAGCGATCATGCGTTGGTCCGAGCACGTATATGCCTGCGTCTCAATGGACGTAGAAAAAATTTGGCAACAAAACCACTACGAGTTCTGCTGGACAACGAAAACACCAAAGCCGTGTTCAGTGAGAAGTTGGCTAGGCAGTTATCGGAACAAAAGACTGTCACTCATCCAGAAGAAGCTTGGTGCCATCTTCAGTCTACTGTAAAAGCAGCACTGGAGACTGTAGCCGACTCCAAGATAATGGCTAAAAAGAGCCAGTGGATATCAGCAGCTTCTTCCAAACTAATGGATGCACGTGAATGCATCCCTGCAGGCTCTGAGTACAATGAAGAGCGAGCGCAACTTAAAAATAAACTGACGAAAAGTCTGCGCAACGATCGTGAACAGTGGTGGGCAGCAAAGGCTAAAGAGATGGAAAAGGCAGCGGCGATCGGTAACAGTAGACAGTTATTTAGACTTATTAAGGAGACTGGGGGGAAATGGTCAACAACAGTTAGTGAGGTTATAGCGGAGAAGGACGGATCGGCGATTCACTCGCAGGGAAGGCGACTGGGACGATGGGCAGAACACTTTGAGGAACAGTTTAACTGGCCTCCAGCCACCATTGCGCTGCCCGCTATCCAGTCGGACCCTGAATGGGACATAGAGACAGGTCCCCCAACACTAGAAGAAGTTGAGAAAGCGGTAGGTAGCCTGAAACGGGGAAGGGCAGCAGGACCAGACGGACTACCTGCTGAGGTATACAAGAATGGTGGTAGAGTTCTCTTAGTCAGGCTAACGGAAGTGTTAGCCAGTATATGGGAATCAAATACGATCCCCTCCGACTGGTCTAAGTCACTGATCATCCCAGTCTTCAAGAAAGGCGAGAAGTCCTCTTGTGATAACCACAGAGGAATCAGCCTGACAAACATAGTGTCTAAGATCCTAAGTTCTATAATTCTCCGACGCCTGAGTGGAGCTCGGGAACAGCAAGCCCGAGAAAACCAGGCAGGCTTTAGACCTGGCCGTGGATGTATCGACCAAATATTCACACTGCGCCAGGTCCTGGAACATAGGCATGCTTACAGACGCCCGACAATAGCTGTATTTCTCGACCTGAAGGCGGCATTTGACTCCGTTGATCGAGAAGTCTTATGGCAGTGTCTGTCACTGAAAGGCGTGCCTAGTAAGTACATCACCTTATTGAAAGCTCTCTACTCGAACACTTGTGGGCATGTTAGAGCCTATGGTGAGTTGTCCAGGGAGCTATACTCATCAAGTGGTGTCCGTCAAGGATGCCCACTATCCCCATTCTTATTTAATTTTATCATAGATATTCTTATGGAGGTTTCCCTCTCGTCACCTAATTACAAAGACGTTGACCGGATCACAGGTGAATTTTCCTTAGATCTAGAATATGCAGATGACATAGTCCTGTTAGGTGAAGACGCTGACAAGATGCAGAGTCTTCTGAACACTTTGAGTGGGAATTTGAGAATGTTTGGGATGCGATTTTCACCACCCAAATGCAAATTTTTGCTCCAGGACTGGTCTTCAGCGGTACCGCGGTTAACAATAGAGAGTGAAGTGGTTGAGTGTGTTGACCACTTCACTTACCTGGGAAGTAGGATCAACTCCGGTGGGTTAGTTGCCGATGAGATTTCTGCACGGATACAAAAGGCTCGATTGGCTTTTGCCAATTTGCGCCACCTATGGCGCCGCCGTGATATTCGTTTGTCTATTAAGGGTCGCGTGTACTGCACAGCAGTCCGCTCTGTTCTACTGTATGGCTGTGAAACATGGCCATTGAAAGTGGAAGACATGAGAAGGTTACAGGTATTTGACCACCGTTGCCTTCGTAGTATAGGACGTATTCCGTGGTGTCACCATGTGAGTAATGCAGAAGTTAGGTGTAGAGTTTTAGGGAGAAGAGGTAAGTCAGTCGACGAGGTTGTGAACCTTCATCGACTGAGATGGTTGGGACACGTACTACGTATGCCTAGTCACCGATTGCCTCGTCACACAATGTTGGCTGAGGTGGGTTCAGGCTGGAAAAAGGCCCGAGGTGGCCAGACTAAAACATGGCACCAATGTATGAAGTCTCTGACTGTTGGTTTAAGCCATGTAGGACGATGCAGACTAGGTGGTTGGGGTCCACGGGACAAGAGGAACCAGTGGTTGGAGACCCTAGGTGATATGGCTCAGAACCGAAGTCAGTGGCGCAGATGTATACACACATTATCCTCATCTTAACAACGCTATACCGAATCTCACTATTTTGTCACTCCTCTTTCCTTTCTTCTCATACTTTATATTTCTTTTGACTGCATTCACTTATCTTCATCCTTCACCTCACTACCTTTTTACTTGATGTGCTGATATGAGGTGTGGCAACTCGGACCGTTACGCAGTAATGCCTGGTCCTATGTTGATAATGATGATGATGATGATATCATCGTTTGATTAAGTTTTATGTAGCCTTATAGGCCATCGAGAAAAGAATATATTTATGGTCAACAAGTTATGATGGTGTACAGTTCATTGAAATATTTGGTGTCTCTGTAGGTCTATTTTAGTGAAGTAATCGCACAACAGTCAGTATCAACTCTGATCGAGACTATATACTGAGATGTATTATACGCAACATACATAAAAAGCCTCAGAAATGTATGGTTATCATATAAAGGTAATAAAAAGTTTAGAAGAATGATATGAATTCATAGTAATTACCATGAGGATTATGCTTACGCTTGATTAGATAATGGTATTACTGTAGTTAGTGTGAAAATTTGGTGGAAATTTACGCCATCTATGAATTCACTTACAATCATAGAGCAACAACTGAGGCGATTAAGGATTAATAGTGGAAATATTTTGACGGATTCAAGTTTTTGAAACAATTAGTCCCTTTGATGAATTTGCATAGTGTAATAAGAAGACGGATTCAATAAACAGTGATCAGATGGTGTGCATTTCTGCACTTCATGATACATTGTTTAGGTAAGCTCCTCTTAGTGATGATTTAACACAAACAAAACACTTACGCGAAGTGACAGAGTTTAAATATGTGTCCTCTGATAATCTGTATGGATGTGGGGTACTTTTCGACAAACTCTAAGTATTCAAAGGACATAGTGTATGCAGATGGTTGAAGTCCAGAAAAAAGAGCTGGGTTGTGTAAGTGACCCTCTGAAAGGAATAAATGGTGAAATGAATAAGATAGAAGTGAAAATATATACCCAATTAATTGTGACTTTTGTTGATGAACACCACCTTACACGTTGGTAACATGATACATTATTACAGGAAGTTAAAACAATATCTATCCATAAGCTTTAATTAAAACCAAATTACGTGAATAGGAACCATCTCTCACTGAGGAAATTAGTTTATAGGCTTGGATGAATATTTAGGAAGAGGAGTCAGAAATAGACAACTTATTATAAGTGTGCATTAGTTCATGTTTCACACTAAACAGTGAAGAAAACTAAAACCAACTTTTATAAGGTCCAAGAATGAAGTTAGACTAAAAAGTATGATGTATTCATGCGAAACATTTTTAAACAACCTGACCTAAAATCTACTTGTCAACGTCTTTTAAACGGGAATTATTTTTATTCGTTTCATTTTGTACAAAAAGAAGAAGGAATGAGACAATATTAAAATTCGATATGACAATAAAAAAGAAGATAACGCGTGATTGAGACCGATTCTGAGCCATATCACCTAGGGTTTCCAACCATCTATTTGAGCTGCTATGCGTAACCCAACCAAGAAGCTTGCATTCACCTACACGGCCGCTAGGTGCATTTAATTCTATTTTTTCATCTCGCAAATCCATCGACTAACTTACTAACTTGGACAGTAGCATTAGCCCGAATAAGCTGGTTGCTGACGGAATCTCAGCTCGGATACAGAATTTCCGTCTAGCATTTGCTGACGCGTCATATCTGGCACCGTTGGGATATCTGACTACCTGTCAAAGGACGGGTATACAACGCTGAAGTCCACTCTGTCCTACTATATGGCTGTAAAACGTGGTCGCTGAAAAAGGATGAGACGGAGAGGTTACATGTTTTTAACTACAGATGTTTCCATAACACTGCTCGTATATGTTAGAATCATCATGTGAAAAATATAGAGGTCAGACAAAGGGTACTAGGCAAGGAAGACAAGTCACCGGTTTCAGGTTAATGAAGGCCTGCCTTGCTTTACCGATCCTGGCTTTGACGTCCCCATCTGTGCCGCCTGTAGTCGAAACGATGCTGCCCAGGTAGGTGAAAGAGACAACTTCCTTTAGATTTCTCCCGTTCATGGGGATTGGTGCTCGTTGTTGTTATCGATTGGGCATCTTCATCACCTCTATCTTCTCCACGTTCACCTGAAGTCCCGTCTTCGTTGCCCTGCCTCTTCTACCAACCTGTTAGTTCTCACCTATAGATCTTCGAGTTTGTGCAACATTAGACATAAATCATTATCAGCGAAATCCAAATTTTCTAGACAGCGTATGCCCATCTTCTCGCTCCCCACAGTTTGCTGCATGTCCAGTCCAGTCCACCACAATCAGGAAGATCATCGGTAATAGTAGGCAACCTTGTCTTACTTCTGTCTTCACTTCAAAGGCATCACTGAGCTTTCCATTGTGAATCACTTGGCATGCAGCATCATCACATAGCTGCTGTTGAATCAGGTTGATAAAGGTTTGTGGCACTCTGTAGTGTTGAAGCAGCTTCCAAATCACTTCTCAGTCGGCGCTGTCGAAGGCCTTTTCAAAGTCGATGAATTTGAGGTAGAGAGTTGACTGGCATTCTATGCTATGTTCTATGATGATGCGTAGCGTAGTGTTGCAATCTGATCCGCACATGATTTGTTTTTTCTGAAACCAGCCAGTTCCGGTTGTAATTTTGAATCCAGAGAATTGAGATTTCAACAAAATCCCACTAATCGTGACACGTGACTTCTGTGTATATGACAGACAGAGGAGAGGGGATATTATGAAGGCAAAACCAGCATGATTGTGTGACAACCTAAGTTGCCACACCTCACATCAGCCCATTTATGTGATAAAGTGTGTATCCAGTTGTCATAAGGCTCTTTGGTGTAGGCATTTATCTACGAGCTATTGAGGGCAATCACTTGAATTGTATACCACCAACTTCTGCTTGGAGTGACGTCCTTATACATTAAGCGTAACTCATCGCCTAATACGCAATATTGTATAACACTACTGAGTTATGGTGATATATCTCATCTACCTTGCTTTTTCAGCTTAAACTAAATTTGGTAGCTGGCTAGTAAAGCAGTGTAATTTTTTTCCTTAAATAGTTTGAGTTTTCTATTTACGATGGCGATTTTTTAATAAAACTGCTGTCAGGCTAATCTTAACCGACCACTTGGTTTCAGTGAAGAAAGGTCAACAGAAAACTATTAATAACTAGAGCTATTTCAAAAATCGAAATGGAGTCAGCAACCACGTGCTAGCTCATGCAGTAGGCAATGAGTCACACCTATTGTATAAGGGCTAGTGATACAACCTGGTCACCTAAACCTCGGTAGGTAGAGGGAGTTTCAAACTGGTGACTGGTTGGGAGTCAACTGCTTAAACTAATGAGCTACAGCCCCACATGTTATTCAGAAAGGTTATGCAGTGAAACTTGGTAGTAATGGAGAAATGCTAAGAAACACCAATAACTAAGGCATTTCATGTCATCTTAGTCGAATGGTTTATTTGAGAGACACGCTTGTTTTACGCAGGAAAATACTTTCGATGTAAAATCTTAACATATTTGCTCCCTCAAGGCATGATGGATTGTAATTTTAAATCACCAACTAGCATATCCCTATTGTTTGTTGATGTCTTGTAGAAACTCTAATTTAGCTGTCCGATGAATAACTGTACGCTAAATTAAATTATAAACGTAAAATAAAACGGTCGTAATAAATAATACTTCGAGAATAAATGTACCTGCACTCATGACTGCATCAACCTTCGTTATGTCTAGACACCGATGAACATCTGATAAATACTGAATGTTTCCATTAGCAATAACAGGAATTTTAACAGCTTCTCTAGAAAGAGAACAAAAATCACAAATAGATGGTCACGGTAGCATTTTTCCTTTTAAAATCCAACTACATGAATTCAATTTTAGGTGTAAGATATAATTATCAGATCAACTTCCATCTCCTATTAAATATTGAACTGAAAAGAATTTATTACCATGGATTACTGAAATAGTCATAACTTATCGTACAAGATATTTCAGCTGCCATACTGATTTAGTCACCTGTACTAATCACTGTGATCTTTACATTTACAAGAAGCGTGAGGAGAACAATCAGCTGGATACCATTACTTTAGATTTTCGAGAAATTCACAGATGCCTACATGACATGTATGCTAGAATGTATGTAAGTAGTATATGTAGAAACGTCGGAAGTGTTAACGACCGAGTGGTGTGTAATTAAACAAAAGGAATACACAATATTGGATTCAAATATAAAACGTAGAAACCATGTGGAATGATATCCAGAACAAGAGATTATTTGTAAAGGGATAATTTGTTGTTATGTTTCATGCTATATTTTTGCAATAAACAGACCAACTACTTTATTGGACTTCTCTTTATGTGTCGATGTTTACGTTTCCGACAAGAAAATCCGAACTGCAGCGTTTGAGCATGGAGATGTGGGGACCGTTCTAAGGGATTTTGAGGTAGTTGGTGGAGACCAACTGCTGGAAACACATTATAGAGAGCATGTCAGTTGCCACTACTCAATAACTGAAGCTTGTAAACACAGTTCAGCCGATGAATAGTTGGCGGTTAGCAAACGTTGCCCGACAACTGACAAACACAACAGCAACAGCTGAAGAGACACCGGTAGCAAATTCATTAAAGAAAACAATAAAAGAACTACAACACCAGTCCTGCACACTGGCGTAGGAACTGTCTTCCATTGTGGAGAAGTAGTAATTATTAAAGTGTTTTTCTGCTTACTGTTAAGACTAGAACTGATTGGGTCAATGAATAAAGGGCGTATGTATGCTAGGATATGAATAACCGACCAGAAAGTGATCTGTTTGATCGACAGAGGTGCAGTAGTTTCATTAATAGGGGAAGAAAAATCCCAGAGTATAAGGCGATGTATGATGTCAGTTCAAACCGTAGGTGGACATGCATTAGAATCTGCAGGCATGTAGGGTTGTGTTGCTGAAATAGAAGGTTGCAAAATTGGTTACCCATTTGTTGTGACTACTCGTTGATGGAGAATTATACTAGGGGCAGATTCCCTGATAGAGGTTTGCGCAGTCGTCAGTTTAAAGAATGGGGTACGAAATGTCGTTCACATGTTATGAACGAAAGCGTTGAGGTAACAGAAGTAGAGGTAACTAAACCATGGTACAAAAAGGGCCATACCATCACCAGATTGGTTATGAAGTACGAGAGTTTATTTAACGGAAAAGGGGAGCCACATGGATATTGTGACAGGATGGTGCATGAAATACCATTGAAAATTACGGAAGGACGATATTTTCAACTCGGCGCGTCCCTCTTTACTTACAAGAAGTATTATTATCATTAGAACATAAACATGGTAAAGAAAGCGAACCAAGAAATGCTCTACACAAAGTGGTACAACAACATTGTGCAGACATAGATGTTGGGAAGTGAATAAGTAAGGTAGAAAAAAAATAAGAATAGCATGATTAAAACGGCAGTTCAGTAACGCAACATTCAAAGCAAAACATTCATTACTTTACAGCAGCAGAAGATAGAAGAAAGCTGCATCATGACCGTAATTGGTTTCCATTTTGACCCATATCTGATAACGTCTCGACCCACCGAGTTGCGTGATTTCTCTCTCGTGATGTACCAACAGATGTACCCGACACAACTATCCTCGATCCCACGGGGCGACGTCGTACACCGACCACCCCTCCGTTTCATTCATCCAGTCCCACATCTAGCAAACAATGAACGGCATAGAAGCTGTTGCGATAGCATGCGTAACACATGTCCAAGCCACTGAAGCTGGTGTTTCCAGATGACTTCACTCACAGAATGACGATCTCCGTCATAGCCAAACACACGCTGCCGTACCTTAGAATTACTTACATGGTGTTGCCACCGGATACGAGCAATCCCACGGAGAAAACGGTATTCCAACACAGAATCATCGCATATCCTCAGCTCGTATAGGCCAAGTTTCACAGGGGTTGAGCAGAACTGCTCGCATCGAAGAGCTGTAGACCCGACCTTTTACGGACAAACTAACATCCCGATGGCGCAAAAGGTGGCCCAGATTGATGTATGCAACTCTGGCTTATGATATGGGGTTGGAAATTTCATCGCTCATACAACTACTCAGATAAAGGAACAAATTCCCGGCTACTTCCAACGGCTCATTACCGAGGGTGGGCGCAGGGACAAGCTCCTGCCAGTCTTGCAAAAGTAATTTGCATTTCGATGATGAAAAGCACATATCGTACTTACAAACACTAATCCCAACATGATTAGGTGCGATTTGAATACTCTGTGTTACCGCACAGTAAGACATCATTCGCATATTCAAGTTCGAATAGCCGCTCTCCAAGTAGACCTACATTAACATCAAGCACTTCCTTCAAACCTGTCTCAAGAATGTCACTGATGGCAAAGTTAAACAAGAAGGGAGAAACCAGAAAACCCCGCCTAGACCACTTTGTTTTTGTTTGTTCTTTGGGTTTCTGGTGGAATACAGGGCTTCAGTAGCACGTCGTCGTTTCACTGTGCTCTCTGAAGTCTTTTCAACCTGGCTCCACAACTACTCAGAAGCTTTCATTTCTTCCTCACACGATCTCCATGTCACCCTCACCTCAGACGCCCAACTTGTCGTTTCCCATTTGGATTCCACTCGACGGCCTGACGCGTTATGTCCCTAGTCGGCCTTCTCAAAGTTCATCCAATCCATCTCCACTTTCTTCTGAAATAGGTTCTTGGTTGGTTCGTTGCCTGCCACCCAGCCAGAGTTCCATGTTACTTATTCTTTCTGGCCATCTGATCTGATTTTAAGTATCGAGTAAGCGTAGGCGGCAGCTGTTGATGTACGTCTGCAGTTTGTTGGAAATCCCTTTCGTAATGCACCAAGTCTCTCAACCATCACATAGAAGCACTGACTTGACTGAATTAGTGTTGAAAATCCGGACCTTATTCCATATGCTGAGTGCAGTAGATCTTCACACCGGTTTCAGGTTAATGAAGGCCTGCCTTGCTTTACCGATCCTGGCTTTGACGTCCCCATCTGTGCCGCCTGTAGTCGAAACGATGCTGCCCAGGTAGGTGAAAGAGACAACTTCCTTTAGATTTCTCCCGTTCATGGGGATTGGTGCTCGTTGTTGTTATCGATTGGGCATCTTCATCACCTCTATCTTCTCCACGTTCACCTGAAGTCCCGTCTTCGTTGCCCTGCCTCTTCTACCAACCTGTTAGTTCTCACCTATAGATCTTCGAGTTTGTGCAACATTAGACATAAATCATTATCAGCGAAATCCAAATTTTCTAGACAGCGTATGCCCATCTTCTCGCTCCCCACAGTTTGCTGCATGGTCCAGTCCAGTCCACCACAATCAGGAAGATCATCGGTAATAGTAGGCAACCTTGTCTTACTTCTGTCTTCACTTCAAAGGCATCACTGAGCTTTCCATTGTGAATCACTTGGCATGCAGCATCATCACATAGCTGCTGTTGAATCAGGTTGATAAAGGTTTGTGGCACTCTGTAGTGTTGAAGCAGCTTCCAAATCACTTCTCAGTCGGCGCTGTCGAAGGCCTTTTCAAAGTCGATGAATTTGAGGTAGAGAGTTGACTGGCATTCTATGCTATGTTCTATGATGATGCGTAGCGTAGTGTTGCAATCTGATCCGCACATGATTTGTTTTTTCTGAAACCAGCCAGTTCCGGTTGTAATTTTGAATCCAGAGCATTTTTAGGTTTTTTTCGAAGATATTGCGGCTTAATATTTTGCTTGGTGTGGACAGCAGCACTATTCTACGCCAGTTCTTGCAACAACCTAGGTCGCCCTTCTTTGGGAATTCGACTATGTAGCGCTTTTTTCACTCGGCAGGTACCTCTCCTCCCTTCCTTCCAAACGTTCTGCAGGAATGGTGTGAGGATGTACATTTTCGTCTCTGCATGGTTTTAGTGCTTCTGGAGAAATTCCATCTGGTCCTCCTGCTTTCTGTTTTTTAATAACTTTATGGCGTTCAGTATTTTAATACTATTTTTGTCAGAGTGCTTGTGTTAACTTATAGATCTGTGGCTGGGTTGCTGGTTGCATTTCTGGATGAGTCGCAGGGGTGGTTGACTCAAGAGTTTCTTGAAGCGGTCAGCCCATCGTTTTGTTTCTTCTCTTTGGTAACTAGGTTTCCTTCACTATCTTTAATTGGTTTCATCCATGTTTATCTCTTCTCTCTTAGACAGTAATCTGATTATTTGATATAATGTTGACAGGTCTCTCCTACTCGCAGCCTGTTTTGGTTTCACCCACATGTGTGTGGTGGAAGTTTCTTTTGTGTTTGTGCGCACTCTTCTCCACTTCTTTGTCTAGTGTAGTGCTTTGTAGGTTGTATTCAGTTCTTCTTTTCGTTGTTCATCCCTGCACTGCACTGGTTCATCTTCCGCTTCACCATCCCTATCTTCCTCTCCCTGCTTTATCAGCTTCCATGTGTCCGTCGAGATCCATTCCTTGTCTTGCTTATTCTTCCTTCCTAATACGGTTTTGTAGGTTTCTTTCCACATCTCTTTCACAGAGTCCCAGTGTTCTTCCACACAGGATTCTTCAGGGATGTTGCTCAATGTCTCCTATTTGTTCTGATGGCTGCTGTGAAGATTTTCTATGAAGTTTCGTCCTTCAGTTAAGTTTATGTTCCGGGTGTTGAGCTTGAACTGTGGCCTATCACCAGCTTCTTTGAAGGCTTTCAACCTGATTTGGAATGCAGGTTCCTTGCACTAGATAGTGGTATGAACCTACATCTGCTTCTCTTTATGATCTTGTGTCCAGTAGGCTGGCTCGGTCTCCACTTTCTTCAGA